AGGTGGGTGGGTGGGATGGAGGTGGTGGGTGGGATGGAGGTGGGTAGGACCCTCCACCAGCTTGAATCAGCCCAGCTGAGCTGCCTTGTGAGGCCATCAGCTGACTCTACCAGCTGAGTCTGTGCCTCCCCTGGCTCATCCTGCTCCCAAGCCAGGAGCCCCCAGGAGCCACAGCTGCTTTGAAGGTGCCACTGGGGTGGCTCTTGTGTCCCTCCCTGCCCCGGGAGGGGCTGATGGGCGGCAGGTTGTCCCTGTGCCAGCGAACCTCGGGTCACGGCTCTGAAAGTGACAGCATGGGGGGACAAGAAAGGCCTCTGAGGAGAACAAAACCCCCTCTTCCAGCAGCCTTCTGTGACAGCTCCTCAATCTGCTTCTGCCGGGGCAGGGGGACAGGGATGATGGCTGATGCAGGGGATGACCGAGTTCCCCAGGACTGTAATTACACAGGATTAAAATGCAGAGCTCTGCAGTTACGTTTTAACAAAATTTACAACCTCAACAGGGGAAAAAGTCAGGGAAGGGCACCAATAAAGTAGAACAAGCAGGCAAATCCAGCTCTGATTTAAGCACTGCTCCACTGCCAGATTTGGCTCTTGACAGCTGTGTATTACACAGTGATCCTTCCTACCAGAGGCAAAATCACAAAGTTCCTTAGAGATTGCTAAGGTAGCTCTAGATTTCTGCTTCAGTCTTGGGTAGCATTTCTTTCCTTCCCACAGATATCCTCGGCTTTTCCTGCAGAGAGGAGCCAGTGATGTGTTCCCCTCCCCGCTCCTCTCCCTGGCCAGCAGCACCCTGGGCTGCCCATCCCCTGCTCCCCCCTTCCTTCAAGAATCATTAATTATCATAAGGGAGAACATTTCCTTTAACTGCACAATGTCAAACGACTCTTCAATTTCAGTGCTCATCTGTTTTCATCAATCCAGGGCCCAGCTGCCGTGCTGCTCTGTGATGAGACCGACTGGTGCTATCCCACTTGTGATCATGCTCTGACTGGGAAATGCTCAGACAATCCAGCTGCCAGCAGGAAATAATATCTTATAAGTCATGGAAAAGCCAGGAAAAAAAAGAAAAGGAGGATAATTTTGGATAAGTCTTATATACAGGGAATTGTGAAGGTGGTTAGGGGCTGACATTGGTTACCTTTGAGGAACCTATTAGGTTGAACATCTGCATTTCTAAGCAGGACTAAACTCCATCAGGAGACTGGGTTTGCTCAGATGCTGTTTTAATGTTTAATTTATTCAGAATAATTTAGCTTCATTTGGGGAGTTGCAAATGAACTGTTACTTATTCTGTGTCAACAAATCACTGGGGTTTCTTGCTTAGAAAAATGTAAAGGAAAACACATATTGTCAAACCTCCTTGTTCATTATCCACCTTTCCCAGGACCAGCTGGTGGAGAGAGACAAGGGATAAGTCACCCAGCAGTGGCCAGTGATACTCCACAGCAACTCTGTTGAAGCACAGCACACCTCCAGACCAACACCCAGCAGGAAAAGGGAGATTACACTCCCAGACTGCTATTTCCAGAGTGGGCATTGGAAAGAATGGAGTACCCAGCAAACCACATCTTCCTGAGTCCCCTCCCCTGTGCTTGAACACCAGAAACTCCATAAAACCCCAGGACAGACTGACTTTGTGATTTGGTGTGAGCACAAGAGGTTAAAAATTGCCTGCAGGCATGTCCATCTGTGATGTATTTAAGGAGCTGGTGGTGTCAGGCACTGTGTGTGGCACAGGGCATCAGGCAGCTCCTGCTCCCCAGGGAATGGGAAAGTGGGAATTCAAGCCTGTTTATACATACATTAGTGTGGGGTGGTGGTGGTTAAATAACTGTTTCAAACTACAATATGTGCTGTGCTACAGCAAAATTTCATTATGCACAACTGTTCTTACTCCTATTTGTGTAATAAAAACACCTCAGGAAATTCCTTAATGCTAAAATCAGTGGCCAGGTCTCTGTTCAGATCTCAAACTAGAAATAATCCTGTATCAGCACAATTAAGATGTTAATAGAATAGAAGTTTAAATTTCTCCTTAAAGCACAGATCCTGGGTTTAATCCCTTCCTCTGCCATCGGTGCTCCTGCTCCTCCTGCTGTGGGGCTGTTCCTGTGCAGGCAGGTCCCCACTGACCCCTGGGGTGACCAGTGCCACCACACAGGAGCAGCTTCTGGGTCAGCAGCTGCTGGTTTCCATTCCCAGAGCAGCTTTGTACCTGGTCCCTCAGCTTGATCCTTCCCAGGGGGACAGTCCCACAGGCCATTCCCTGTTCTCAGTGCTGCACCCATCAGCCCAGCACCAGCACAAATGGAATGGCAATAAGAAATGGGGATTAAAACCATTTTTTTATGAGGCTGATGGGAAAACACTGAAGCATTAGCATTTTTTAATTAGTTGTGATGCTGCAAATGTAAAAGATGACAATGATGAGCTCTGCACAGAGGGTTTCTCCTCCTTCCCTTTGTAGTGCTCTGTGATTCCTCTGCTGCAAGGTTTGTTTGCTGGTTTTCTCACGCTCTTGTTTGGTTAACAGCCACCTCTCATTAGCTTTGCCCACCGTGCCAAGCCCCCAGCATGGCTGGAGCACCTGGGGTCTCTGTGGTCCCCAGGGAGGCCATGGAGCTGTGGCACATCCCCTTGCCCTGCAGCACGGCAGTGAGCCCACAGCCCTGGCTCGTGGTTCCATGCAGGTCATCAAAATGCAGCTCAAATGCTGTGGTTTTCACACAGCAAGTCAAACACAACACCCACACTGGGCAAGGGTGAATCCAGGATGTACATCTCCAGCCCTGGGTGGTGAGGACACTGAAGGCTCACATCCCTCTCAAGGAGTGGGGGTAGAAGGAGGGGGTTTTCCCTCGCCCCCTCCCCTGACTGCAACAGGCAGCCTTTCCTAACCAGGAGTTGTATAAGCCAGGAGAAACATGATTGAATCATATGCTTCAGAGTCCCTGCTGGCCTCTGTTCTCATAAATCAAGAAGGTAAATATAGATCAGTCACTGCCTGGGTTTATCAGGGTGTATTTGAGCAGAAGCTGGGCTGTCGATGCTTTATGTGGGCAGAGAGGACACACCCTGAGCATTAATCTGGTTTGTCTAATTGATGTGGTTATTTCTCTTTTGCTGACTGGATATATTAAAAAAATGTTCATTCAATCCTCCTGTTTTTTAATTGAAGTCTACTTTACTGTACCCAAAAGCATGAAACAAAGCAAACCATTTTCCCTTGTTCCCTGCACGGAAGAGAGGGCACCAAACCCTGCTTCAGCTCTCGTTTCCAGCTCTGCTCAGTGCTGGTTTCATGAGACTGAAAACATCACCTCACATTAGGTAAATCTTTTCATAAAAGCCATTAACTCCTCTGTGGAAAAGCCCAGTGGATTTTTCCATGACATGTAATTTCTAAGAGCCTGTCTTTATAAATGCACAACATCAAGGGCCAGGAAAATAACAATAAATTTTAAAAAAGAAAGCAGTAGAATGGGTCAATGCCAGAAGCATTTCATCTATGTACATTCCACCTGATTTCAAGAGCTACATCCTGTCAATACCTGGCCCACTCCAGAACCAATTCATCAAAACGTGTACTTTTAGCATAGGATCTCATGGACCCAGAAAAGAAAACAGCATTTGCTTTGCATTCTGTATTGACAGGGTTTTTTTCTGTGAAAAACTTGGTTTTTTCCTCAATTTCCAGTCCTTTTCCCACACTATGAGTCTTTTGCATGCTAGCTGGCACATCAATGATGAAAAACACACTGTCCTAATATCCTCCTCCAGCTCTATAGAAACTTGCTTGAAACCTATTTACAGCTGGCATGCGCATATTAATGTCTTGTCTTGTTTGCCTCAACAAACAGAAAGGAGCTATTTTAAGTTAGTAGAAGATACACAAACTATTGAAAGTCCAACCTTTGTTTTCTAGAGAAGCCATCTGGAGCCCGCCCCCTCTTTTGCTTTGGTTTTAAAACTTCTTTGGGCTAAGGACAGCACCTCCCTGTGTATCAGCTAAAGGTCAATAGGGGATGGGTGTCCAGGTCATGGGAGCTGTGCCAGGGACCTGACACAGGGCAAGTTACAGCACCAAAGCCAGGGGATGGGGCAGCCACACTCTGAGATCCCCCAGCAGCTCCTAAGGGAGCCAGGACCCTGATGGCTGATAAGGATAGAATGAATGCAAAACCTAAAACTGTGCTACCCCAGGCTATGATCTTATCAACCTCCTCGGAAAGCTGAGCTGCACCAGCCCCTGCGGGTCTTGAATAGGAGATTTCAGCTAATATGCCGCAGGTAATTCAATCCGTGCCTCTCTGCTCCTTCAAGCAGCACTCAGCCAAGGCTGCATTACGATATTAAATCCACGGTGACTTCGGAGGTGTAGGCTTTGCCTCCTCGTCCTTCAGCTGACATGCAAAATCGGGTTGAACAGATCTGGAATAGCCCAGCTGAAATATCTTGGCTGAGCTTCAGCTGAGAAGCTGTGTTTAATCCAAGGCAAACTGCACTATGGTGCACATTTGGATGAGGCTTTTGCCTTCAGTGCTGACCCTCCCCAGCACAGGCCTTTGGCTTTAGCAGTAAGAAATCATTGGGGAAGAGTAGATCAATAGAAATGTCAATGGCAACAAACTATCAGATCAATACCTTCCTCTTTTGTTCTGCAGTGCTGTTGGTTTCAGAGCAGATGTGCAGTGCTCTCCTGCTGAACAGCTGATGCTGCTGAGCTTCAACCCTGGGATGTTTATAAACCTTCCCTTTCCTGCAAGGCCTGCTCCTGGGACAGCTGATTAGCAAGATAGATAAATCACACAGCCAGCTGTGATGCCCAGGAAGCATTCACATATCTTTCTTTTTTCCTTCCCCAGAAAAAAATGTTTTACTTTTTTACCCAAGCAGGAACAGTTCAGTCTCTGGGTCAAACCTGGCAAGTAAATGCTAAAATAGTCTGCAGACCACTGGTTTTACCTGGAGTTCTCAGCAGCAGCGAGTGACCTTTTGTGTATAAACCCAAAACAAATACTGTGGGTAACACTGCTGTTACTGAGGACACCACATCAGCTTCTCCTGCCTGTGGACAGCCCAGCAGAGACTAAGCTGGACCTGTCCCCATAGTGTGTCACACTGGGACAAGCAGCTGGTGGGTGTACTCCAGCCCTTGGTGCAGCACTGCCCACCCAGAGCCTGGCTCTTAGATGGGGCTTTGATCAACCTGGTCTGCTGGAAGGTGTTCCTGCCCATGGCAGGGGGTTGGAATGAGATGGTGTTTAAGGTCTCTTCCAACCACAACTATTCTGTGATTCTATGAATAAGCTAGAATATGTAGCAGCACATATTCCCTGCCCCCTGCTCACTGCTGAATGAACCAGGCTGTGTCCCCTTGCCAAAGTCTTGTCCTCAAAGCATTCCCACACTGTTAACAAAACCATTTACAGCACCTGCTCCTACAGCAGATTAAAAATAAGATCTCCAAGCTCTTTATTGATGCAAGTGAGTTTCTGCCTAAAAGTAGCCCAGCGTGGCTCCTGCTAGAACCACAGCTTTACTGTGGTGAGTAACCAAGCTAAGCCAAGCAATCCTCTCAGCTTCAGAGACACCTCTTTACAGGGCAAACACCAGGACCCACCACCCTGGACTGAGCACTGAACCACCAGACAAGTCAGTTTCAGCAGGTGCAGGCTGCCTGTGGCACATCCCATCAATCTCAGCATGGCTGGCAGACTTTGGGGACTGAAAGACATTGAATAAGTGCTGCTTTTCTGGGGAGCACCCAAGGGGAGCCACACTCCTGCCTGGCACAGAGATGTTGCCCTGTGACAACTCTATATCCACACTCACAGCCTGTGTATGATCTCCAAACAGTTCCACTAAATGTCCCTGCACTTGAATCATCTTTGTGCTGTTACTTTGTCTGTTACTCTCAGAACAGACAGCTAAGACCAAAATCCTGCCATCAGCTTCACCCTGTGACTTTAATCAAAATCTAGATGAGCTAAGCCCACTTGCAGGACAGCAGGAACTGATCAAGTATCACTTGATTAATCCATAATCATCACAGCATAGATGG